AAAATCAAAACTGGTGAGAGAATATCAAAACTGGTGAGAGAATATCAAAACTGGTGAGAGAAAATCAAAACTGGTGAGAGAATATCAAAACTCGTGAGAGAATATCAAAACTGGTGAGAGAATATCAAAACTGGTGAGAGAATATCAAAACTGGTGAGAGAATATCAAAACTGGTGAGAGAATATCAAAACTGGTGAGAGAAAATCAAAACTGGTGAGAGAATATCAAAACTCGTGAGAGAATATCAAAATTGGTGAGAGAATATCAAAACTGGTGAGAGAATATCAAAACTGGTGAGAGAATATCAAAACTCGTGAGAGAATATCAAAACTGGTGAGAGAATATCAAAACTCGTGAGAGAATATCAAAACTGGTGAGAGAATATCAAAACTGGTGAGAGAATATCAAAACTGGTGAGAGAATATCAAAACTGGTGAGAGAATATCAAAACTCGTGAGAGAATATCAAAACTGGTGAGAGAATATCAAAACTGGTGAGAGAATATCAAAACTCGTGAGAGAATATCAAAACAGCTGAGCAGAGGGGCGTAGCTCAGCCAGTAAGCAACAACAACACACACAAACTAGGAAAAAATTCGGCGCCTGTTGCCAGCAAGTAGATCTAGGCTTCTGCAAGAAGGTTGCATAGGTGGTGATGATTGATAGATGATGGCGTGTGTTTACACGCATATGGCAGTGTCTACAACAAACAGACTGAGCACTTCATGTGGTAGAACCATCATGATTTGCTTGCTGGTGGTGGCATGTAGTTAGTGGCACCTGTGCTCTTTGTATGCTGATGGTGGCATATACTGTCTTATTAACACCACTACAACTTGTATGCTGACAGTAGGATAATAGTCAACATCATTACTATATGTATGGTGAGGGTGGCATTAACAGTCAAGTTAATACCACAACTATTTGTATGCTCATGGTGGCATATACAGTCAAGTTAATAGACTAAAATGTATGCTTCTGTTGCCTGTAAGTTAAGTTTTGAAACATCACAATTTAGATGGCACTATCTGGTGTTAGGTCATAAACCCCCTGTGATATAAACCCCCTGGACAAAAACCCCTCAACTGAGGTTTATATAACAAAAAACTATAGATGATGAGAACCAAAATTAATAATCAAAACAAAACAAACATTAGAAAAAACAGTGTTTTATTATAACTTTAAAAAGAGAGATTTTGAGGGATGCCTCGCAAATACTTAATAATGGCACGCCTTCAAATGAGTTGTTTGACTTTGCCTTATGGTCTTCAGCACGTGTGTGCATGTTGTGTTTCACATATCAATTGGAAATAGGTTGTCTCCAAAGTCAACGTTGTGGTCTGCCAATATAGTAGTCCTCGAAACAGTCTGTAATTGGCATTGCTTCTTGGGGGAAAATTTCCGATAATTTATTAAAGGCATAACTAATCTGTTCATGGCCACACAAAACACAGGTAGCATTCTGAGCTTGAGAGCAAATTTGCTATCAAGTATGGAACGTTGTTAAAGACCAGAGTCCTGAATTTTTCTGTATGTTTTGGCTAAGATGGAAAAAGAAAGCATCCTTTTATCTCACAGTCTGGAAATACCCTTTCAACACTTTTTATCACAGCCATTTCAAAGTCAATCATAATAGAAATAGGTTGCAGATTTGTATTCATGACCGTTAGTTGCTGTAAAAGTTCTGTTTATGTTTCATGTTTTGTTTTGAAGTAAAGCATAAACACATGGAACAGTCCCTCCATTGACCAATGAATGAACTATGTACAGTTGTGAAACAATGCAGGAGCTGTTTTGAATGTACCACCCATAAAGCAGTGCTGATTAACCTCCAATAACCTAAGGTTGTCCTTAGTTCCAAACAAAAACATACTTTTGACTCGGTATCAGAATCGTTAGTCGTTAAAAATTACATTAATTTAATTTCGCTTTTCTTGGTTCTCATCATCGTTATTATTTCCGTATATAAATCTCAGTCGGGGGTTATTATCCAGGGGGGGGGGGGGGGTTTATGTCGCTGGGGGTTTTTGTCCAGGGGGGGTTTTTGACCGAGAGCCGCACTATCTACAGGTTATGCTCATATCACTAGCCCTAATTGAAATCAATAGAAATTCATTAGGCTATCAAATACAAACAGAGTAGGGACTAGGTCAATCAAGCACAAATTTAGGTATGATGTGCCCAGGTGTTCTTTACCTAAAGTACCAGAAATGTGAAGTCAAAGGTCACACATTGAAAGAAACAAGCGCACACTGTAAGCATTCATCTTTCATACACAGAATTTGGCCTATTTCAGTTAGATTCAAACTTAGCAACTGTTGTTTTGCAAAACATTTAGATCTATATATACAAAAATGAAAGTATGAGGGTTTGGTTGTCCATTATGCATTATCCTTAAAAATTTCAATTTCACAGGGGTGGCGCCCACTGGTTTTCCCCTGATAGCAATGGAGGATGTGTTTTTTTTAAACAGTATGATAGGCAATGGATAAGATGGGGCATTGGTAGCTGAAGCCACTCTAGACTACTTGTCTTATGCAACAGCTGGAGCACTTCTAGACTATTTGTCTCATACACCCCATACAGCAGCTGGAGCACCTCTAGAATATTTGTCTCATACACCCCATACAGCAGCTGGAGCACCTCTAGAATATTTGTCTCATACACCCCATACAGCAGCTGGAGCACCTCTAGAATATTTGTCTCATACACCCCATACAGCAGCTGGAGCACCTCTAGACTATTTGTCTCATACACCCCATAAAACAGCTGGAGCACCTCTAGACTATTTGTCTCATACACCCCATACAGCAGCTGGAGCACCTCTAGAATATTTGTCTCATACAACAGCTGGAGCACCTCTAGAATATTTGTCTCATACAACAGCTGGAGCACCTCTAGAATATTTGTCTCATACAACAGCTGGAGCACTTCTAGACTATTTGTCTCAAACACCCCACACAGTAGCTGGAGCATCTCTAGAATATTTGTCTCATACACCCCATACAGCAGCTGGAGCACCTCTAGAATATTTGTCTCATACAACAGCTGGAGCACTTCTACACTATTTGTCTCAAACACCCCACACAGTAGCTGGAGCATCTCTAGAATATTTGTCTCATACACCCCATAAAACAGCTGGAGCACCTCTAGACTATTTGTCTCATACACCCCATACAGCAGCTGGAGCACCTCTAGAATATTTGTCTCATACAACAGCTGGAGCACTTCTACACTATTTGTCTCAAACACCCCACACAGTAGCTGGAGCATCTCTAGAATATTTGTCTCATACACCCCATACAACAGCTGGAGCACCTCTAGACTATTTGTCTCATACACCCCATACAGCAGCTGGAGCACCTCTAGAATATTTGTCTCATACAACAGCTGGAGCACCTCTAGAATATTTGTCTCATACAACAGCTGGAGCACTTCTACACTATTTGTCTCAAACACCCCACACAGTAGCTGGAGCATCTCTAGAATATTTGTCTCATACATCTGTTTTTGTTGCTGCCTTTGATCAAGGAATGTTCAGCAACCTTCACAATATGATTCATAAAACCAAACTCTCCTGAGAAATCATTTGTCAACCAAGTGCATCTCTTAAACAAACAAACATGAATTCTGCATATCTTCAATCTAGCACAAGGCAGGTTAGCATTCTAAAAATACATCTAACAATTCTCAATGGAGTTTTGCCTTAGCCTGTAGTTGTTTTTTTAAAATGTTATTTGCTTTGAATATTGAAAACAAAAAGGAAAAGTGGTATATGCTTGGTTGAAGTTATAACTGGTCTGAAAATTTTTACAGTACTAATGGTAAATGGCAAGTAATTAAAACACCTGGTGTGTACAGATAATTTTTAACCATCAAAAATGGGTTAGTATAGTAAAGAAAAGTTAGTCAAAAAATAAAACAAATTAAAAATGTTCACAATCAGCCTACAAATGCATTAAATTTAATTTATAATAACTATTTTAATTTTACAAAAAAATAAAAGTGTTGGTCACAAAATGTATCAAAAAGATTTCAGAAGCATCTCTTATTTTTACTATTACTATCGAAAAGTACTGGTTTTTATTTTCTTTGTTTAGTAATTTAAAAGATTTTAAATAATACTTGATTTATTGTTACCTTTTTATAAAGCGAGATTGTTTAAGTAAAAATTTATTCTTTTGATTGGGTACATTTTGATTCAGTCAACACCCACCATGACTGAAAAAATAATTATTTCTCTAAAGCTTTTTTAAGGAACATCCGCATATCTGCTTCCACTATAAAAAAAAAATTGGTGCGAACATTTTGAGGTCTTCAATTTTGTGGTTTTAACAACCCACAATTTGAAAATTCAAATAAATCAGTTTGAAGTTCTGCAGTTTAAATTTTTAGCTGAGTACATATGGTAGAAGATTATGAATTCATTCTTATTGGCCTTAAAATATACTTTATGAATGGTGGAGATTCTACAAACAGGTTAATTTTTCAAGATGGCCGTCATCATAGGTACCAAGATTTTCCCAATCAATTTTTTTAATGGAGAAACATGCATATTACCTTAAAAAAAACTGTAGAGAAAAAATTGTTTGCTCTCAAGTATTACAATTTTTTTAAAACCAAGAACCTATCCCCTTAAATCACAATCATTAACTCTAAACAAGAATTATCTGCCTTTTATCTGTGTTCAGCTTTCAGATGAGAAAGCAATTCTGAATCACTACTTCTTAATCTTGTCTAAAAAATTTTTAATGAATACCGTAATCTTTACATAAAATTTTAATAACTAGTTTAATAACTTCTAATTAAAGTGAAAAGTGTACTATCTTGTGTTGTCGTTGGAAATGAAAGATCTATTTACAAACAATATTTTCATAGTCATCCTCTTGCTGAAGGCAAGACGACACAGCCAGGAAATTATGTCTACATTTAAAATGGTCTGTACATGCCAAAAGAAAATATTTACTTTAAAGACTGAAATGATAACACTAAATACTTTACCTTCTGTGATGCAGCCAACACCTTATCCAAAAATCTCAGCCATTCAAATACGAATACAGGCCTTTTAGATTCAGATATCCTTTTTAATGCTTCTTCATTAAGCAAGAGACTGTGTGCTAATTCCATTGCTGATTGTTATATCCACCTAAAAACAATTTTTAAACATTACATTCTTTTTTAAAAACACTAAAAATATAAATAATAATAGCAATAAAATTTTTAAAAAGAATATCATATAATTTTAACAGCATAACCTATGTTTTGTTGTTGTGATTTTAAAAAATTCAAACACAATAAACTGTACAGTACAAAATTTTGTAACTGAAAAAACCAAACTGTAGTAATTACTCAAACAGTTATAAGTTATTAGCATATTGTAATCCCATAATAAAGTGGTGAAGCAGGCCAGAGTTACAGGGATGGATGGATGTAATCGACTATTTCAAGATTTTTCTAACCCTTTGAAAAATGGACCAAACCAATTTACACCTGCTTCCTCCATCAAAACTCTACTTCTTTCCTTCTTTTTACAGCTCCCAGAAATACGAGCATACCTCTAGAAGCAGAGATGTGAAAATATTATATGGCCAATGTACTTTCAATAGATGCCTTAAAGACCTGTTTCTGAAGCATCTTTGCTGCTGTGTGAGTTACCCTGTAAGTCTCTGAGCCATACTACAGCGTCAGACTTTATATTTGTGTCAAAGCTTCAGAGTTCAGTGTCTCTTGACATTTAAATTCCACACTGGCAAGTTAAAAACATTTCTTGCCTTGTTGATGTCAGTATCTTTCAGTTTGTCTTATAATGCAGTCAACAAGAAATAAAAATATCAATGCTGAAAGCAAACACTTTTATCTCACTCCTGTTTATACTTCAAAGGGTTTGGATAATTTTTATTGTGTATAACTTGAATTCTGAGTTGATGTATAGTTGTTGGATAAGTGGGCTAAACTTATCTGGGACTCCATACTACAGCCCTGTCTACACTTTAAAATCTACAAAAGTACATATAGTTAAGCTCTCCATTCTTGCTTCTCCTAAATGATAATGTACAGGGATGGTCTTCTATAATCAAGCTTGCTCCTAGGTCTATAGCCCAAAGATTCCTTGAGTCAATCTATAAAGTATGATTGTGCCTATGACTTTTGTTGTTCTGATAACAAAAAGCTACAACACAGCCTTGGCTGCTGACCACTGACTTGCAACTTTAAAAAAACTTAAAATTGAATTAATAATATAATACTTAAAATTGCTCCAAAGATCTGACATTAAAAATCTGACTAAACCGATTTGGACCAGCTAAATACTGTCCATTTAATCAGTAGGATTAACTAGCATTATTCATATGAGATGTTTTCACTATTGTTTTGAGTTTATATTTAACTCAATGCAACAAGCCCGCCGGTTGGTTCAGCCCTTGGCGGGGGAAGTTCTAACCGGGATTCAAAGGGATGACTCGATATCCAAAATTAACTCTATGGCATCAATATGATAACTTAAGAGGGTACAGACTAGGATCATTTTAACATTTTTTGTTAATATGGGCTAGATCCACATATAATTGTGTCTTTAGAGTTTAACTGAGCAGCTTTACACATTAGTCATTACAATGTTAAAAATATTATAACAAAAATTAAAAATGGGCAAATTTAAAATTTTAAGAACATCATTTGTTAAGAATATTTTAATTATAAAACTGACAACTCTTAATTTAAATTGACAGAAAATTAGTAACAAATAGTAGATCTAAATATTATTAATAGTCATGAATCTATGCACATTTTTAAACATTGGCCTATAAAAAGTAATATGGTGCCAAATATAAATGATGGTTTACGAATGTCGTATGTCATGGTTTTACAGTTTTACTGGGTTTTTTTACTTCTGGACCATTCCGTAATATCTAATAATATCCGACTCTATATTCTATATCGTGATATTACAAGACTAGATAAATTCTATCTAGATCTCTATCTACTATCTTAGTATTTACTAGATCTAGACTAGTAACTAGCTAATAGATTTAGATTCTAATCTAGATCTAGATCTAGATCTAGTTATTAAAAGTACTACTCTATCTGCCCTATCTGGCATCTAGGCTGCGGCATCTAGGATTCTAACTAGAAATCTAGAATCTAGAACTAGGCTACTGGATCTAGACTTTTGATCTACTAAACTTAACTAAATTAACAAGATCTAGTCTAGGTAACTAAGCAAGATCTAGCTCTACTGTCAATGTATATTGTATGTTGAGGACAACAGACTCACAGAGCAAAACAGTGACAAGACCAGTAAACTGAAGAGTGAGTGACCTAAAAAAAACTGCAAAAAATAATTAAAAAAAGGTTCGATGGATTATCGCTTTATTAACTTATGTAGATCTACAAACTTACTAAGACATTTACTGAAATGTATATTTACTCTCAGTTGTCTAACTCAATCCAAGTTATATCGGGAAAAATGTAGGTAGACTAGGTGCACTATTAAATAGTCTACAACACAAGTCAGAGTTCTATCCTTTTATTTTTTTTATCAACTACACAGCTCACACCCAGATGATACATTACCATTGGCCAGGATTTCGCAAAACTGTATGCTATATGGAATTTAAATAGATCTAGTTAAGCGGCTTAGAATCTAGACATCTAGATCTATATCTAAAAATCTAAAGCTTACTAAAATTGTGTAACATATTTTTGTTGTAGGTTTAAATGTTTTTCAAATTCCAGCTTAAATTATATTCAAATCTAGATCTATAGCTACCACGTACATTTTTAAAAGAAATTACAAATCTAATGCAAAAATAAGAGAATAGTTTATGACCCCCAGTAAGTTGACTTTCAGTGGTATGAATAACACAATAATACAAAATAAAAAGGAAAAATAAAAACCTAACGCTCAAATAAATTAATAATAGATAGATTCTAGACCCTACGTAGATGTATGTAGTTGTAAAAAGCCCGCATTAAAATTTAAAAGTTCAATAAATATTCTTTAGTAAATGAACACCAAAATAAATCAATATTTATGAATCTTTTAATAGCAGCTTTAAAAATAAACTCAAAGAATATTTTATAATAATATTGACTCGAATAGTGTTATATTATATAAAGCCTAGTGGTTATAGACATACAAATAAGACTATATAATTATCATCTCCGTGGAGCACGACAGGGACACAACCACACCTCCCCATTGTAGCCTACTCGGTTATGTATCGTACATTTATTTTATTTTTATGGGCGAATAAGAGACTACAAGTGCTACCAGTGTAATGAAATCTTGGTATAAAAATGAAATACCCCACTCAATAAACAGCAAATTTACAGTTGTTAATGTTATCCATTACTTTACCCAAATAATATCTTACTGATATACTTTGGGGGGGGGGGGGGGGGGGGGGGGGGAATGAAGAATGTTAGAGAATGTTTGGTGTAGTCCAGATTCCAGATGGCGTGCTCAAATTTTAATAATCCGAGTGTTATGGTAACGCGTAGTTCCGGCAAGAAAGTGTGTTTTCAGAAAAAATGTCTGAAATGTGTGTTTAAGTTAGTTTAAGAGTATACTCATACTGTTAATGTTAAGCCTAACGTCTAGCTCAAACTTGAAATATTAATAGAACAGCTGAGAGGTATTGATTGCATTGGATTATTGATAATTTAAATCAAACAAACTCATAGACTGTCATAGACTCATAGACTCTAGCCGACTCTAGGGCTGTAGGCCATAGCCATAAGTCATAAGTCAAATAAAAAAAAAACCCGTCTCTCTGGGCGGCGACAGTTTCTCAGTTTGATTCATCAAACTTTAATGATAAACTTTGATGTCAGTGAGTTAAGCCTAGAGCACAGTGACTGTGAGTGACAGTATCACCAACTCTCCCCAGTTGAGTAAGTCTCAGTTGACTCAGTCTAACGGTAATCTATCGTTTTAGGTACGTAAAATCGCCCGCGACTAGTAATGTGAAAAACAGGTGACTCCTTACATTTTAATAATTATTTCACATTTTGAGGAGGATTTATGTTTTGAAAAATACAAAAATGTTTCCTTGTTTCATTTATGTACCTGTTTCTAAACAACTGAATTAAAACTTTTCAGTAATAAATGAACACCAGCGATGTTTCCAACAGATGCAACCATGCTCATTTACTATAGCAGCCATCTTGTTAAAGTTTTATTTTTATAGACTTATAGCGCAAGATTCAGGCGGAAGTCACTCTATTTTACAAATGGCTGCTGTTTATATAGCAAATCTTGCTTGCAGACACTGCTGTTTAAAGTTAATTTCGGGCCTATATTGATATATTTAGCCATTGATTTAGGTTTATTATTCATTTATCTATAATATTTGACACAAACATATCACAATATACTTCTATTACAGCCTTGACAATGAGGTAACTTTTTCGTACATTAATAGCCGCGGGCGATTTTACGTACCCAAAACGATAGATTACCAGTCTAACTTTTTAGCGCAATTTCCATTCTGGAGAATGGAGGCGAGCGAGTTGACGAGATTCCTTCCATAATGTTGTTGATATGGAATAAAAACGTGCATTTTAGATTTAGACCGTAAAAAAAAATAAAAAATAAAAACTTAAGCCTAAAATTAATTTAGAAATTTTATATTTTTAGAATAAATGCTATAAAAGTTGCAAATCCAGAGAACTTGAAAATAATTTGTTGAGTTTAAGGCTACATTTCTATTTATTTTCATCAAGCCTAAGTTATAACCGGATGTTTCACTTTCGTAAGACAAATATTGATTGGCTGTACAGTAACTTAGTGATCGATAACTATTTGTTTACAAAACTTTGCAGATCAAGTTTTTAAATGACAATGCAAATTTTAAAAACCCATGACCTAGTTTTCTATTTTTAGCTTACAATGTGTACAATAAAATCAATGGCGGCCTATCCAATAGCAGGATGCCATTGTTTATGTCGCCATTACACGTGAAAACCAAATTGTTTTTGCTTTTTTTTAAATTTTTATTTAGTTACCGAAAATATTATAAACATCAAATACGTTCAATCTTTAGAAAAGTCCAAAAAAAAACAGACAGACAGGATTTTATAACCATATTAATTGTAACTACGCCGTGCCTGATTTTTAAACTAATTTATACACCTCTCAAATACCTTTGAGAGTTTTCTCGCTCGTGTCCATTGCGTTTATTAACCCGTCATTTCTGGATGTATGAATGAATGGATGGATGGATGGATGTGTGTCCGCAGCTTTAAGTCGTAGATCTATCTCCTCCTCAACGAAGCAATATCGATGACTAGTTCCAAAAGCAATTATGTTAAGCAAGTTACGAGGATGAACATAGGCCATAAAAATTCCGGGTTTCTTTCATGGATTTCCCGGAAAAGCCAAAAAACCTCGAAAAAAAACAGTTTTTGACCCATATCTCGGCAACCAGACAACTTAGCGACTTGAAACATGTACCAATCGATTCCTGCCATAATTTAGAACAATATTGCTGAAGAAAGTTTTCAAAAATATCCTTTCTTTCGGTCACAAAATTTTTTTTGAATTAATTAAAATTTGGACCGAATTAGTAGGCATTTTATGCAACCACACCACACGCGCCATCACGTTCAATGGCTGCGACGTCACGTTCGGTAGCTGGGCGCGCAATGGTTTTTAGTCATGTTACTCTATTGTAAATAAAACATGTAAAATACTGAAATTTTTTTTAATAAAAAACGTTTTAATAACTAACCAATGGTTTTACTAACCCTGCTCTTGATTTACGCTACGACAGAGCTATTTTTAGATAACACAAGGAAATTGCGCTAAAATTGTCACTAGACTTTTTTTAATTACTTGTTTTACTAAATTGTTTACTAAATCTAGTTAGTTGAAAAAATCATCAAAATGTATACAGTGAGATGAGTACAGTATTCTAGTAGAGTAGTCTTAAAACTATTAAACTTAAAAGTTATAGAGCTAGATCTAGTTATTTCTAGTAAGTAGGGAGTGACAATGTCACTGTGAGAATAGGGCATAGGGAAGATACCTAGGACCTAGGACGACCTAGGTCAGTCTACTTCTCTTTAAAACTTTATTCCCCTTTTAACTTTTAACATACATTTAGTAAAAGTGATTTAGTTACAATTTAGTATATTTAGATCTAGATCTAGAACCATTTGCAGCAAGTTTTTCTTATACCAAAAGCGCACAGTAATTTTTCAACCATGGAAGTTTAAAATTATTTAATCAGCTAGCTAAAACCAAAACTGTATTACTAGACCAGCTGAACTTGTGTTCAAAATTTGTAAAAAAAATAATAATTGAAGATTAGTATGCAGAGGTAACAGAAACAGGTGAATTCTACTTCACTTGCCCCATGGATATTGTTGATATAAAAGTCTTTCTTTTTGAATCCCACACACAAAGAAGGCAGCTTTGTTGTCCATTACTAAATTAACTTTATTACACCACATGACCTAGTAATTCCAACTATGAAAAATGTACAATTGCAAAAGTGTACTGTGTAGCTGAAATTGTGTTAACTAGCAGTATAATTGTGCACTATTTCCTCTATCAACAGGCAAAAATGAGCTTAAAGTGAGAAATTGGATGGTGCCCTTGAGAGGGCTAATGGGTTGTGGTTCATCAAGTGTATATTCTGGGACAAGGGGAATGCCACATCATCCAAACAGGAACATCCGCATTAATAGTAGTGTGACAGTGTTGTAAAAGTGATTATGTGATAGTTCTTGCTTTTGTTAAAGCTTTCTTGTCTGCATAAAGTACTTTTAGACTGAAATAGTGATAGTTGTGTAAGCAATGTTTAGTGAAACTTAATGCTACATTTTAAAAGCTTTCATCCCTTCTGCATTTTATTCCCATTCAGTGTTTTTTTCAGACATCTTTTGTGTGTGTGTGGGGGGGGGGGGGGGGGGGGTAAAAGTCACCATAGGGAAATTTTTAACTAAACTGTGAAATTAAATTTCAGTGTGAGGGAGTGGGGGTGTCTATGTGGGGGTGGGAGTATTAGAGAGATCAAAGAGATGCCTGAAAGAAAGTCTGTTCACATTTATAATTCAATTCAGTTTTGCTGAGTATTTTGTTTTTCTATCTTTTTTTGCTGAACAAATTTAAATTTGAGCCAATACCATAAGGGATATAATAATAAAAAATTAAATTCCATTTCAATTTGTATTAGTTTGATTAATTTTAAACTATTATTTTCATATAATTTTAAATATATCAACCTTATAATTAAAGACCTATTGTCTTTATTCATAAAACAATTAGTTTTGGAATATCTCAGGAAACTTATTGCTATATATAAAATAAAGCATATGTTCCTAATGATTGAGATCATGTATTTATCTACAGTTATTGAAGCCACAAGTATTCTGGATTATGAAGATACAGATACAATCAGCTCACGCCGTCAAACCCCAGTCATGCCTTGGCAAAGTCAGATTGTAACTGTGAGCTCAAGTCTACCCCAGCATAAGCAGAGCGTGACTGGCAACACCATAACTGAAACACTACAGCTAGAAGAAGCTGCTGATGTATCACCATCTGATAGACCTGTATCACCTGTTCCCAATCATTCAAAAATACTTCACAGAACATACACAACTGTTCAAATCCTAGAAAAAGAAGAGATCCCATTGGTTGTACATTAAGATTATCAAAATTATGTTAACATTTTATGCTTGTTAAATGATACATTTTTAGTTTAATTTATAAGTTAAAATATGCCTCCCATTTTGTTAATTCTTTATTACAGCACTGGAAAAAGTATCATTTATTACAATGCAAAACTAAAAATAAATTTAGGTAATTTTTGATTTAGCAAGATTCTAACTAGATTCAGTAATCCTCTAAACTAATCATGTATAACTATTTAAATTTTTTTTTCAAAATTTACATACCATGTGTTATTTTATCGCATTAGATCTAAATTGTTGTTTGATCTAAAACTCTTTCTTCTCTGGGTATAGACACTTAAATATTAAAGATATTAATAATATTTTATAATTCTATTGAATTCTACTTGTTAAGTCTCATGCTAGTAAACATAACATTGGTTGGTGTTTCTCATCACAAAGTAATTTTAAAAAAAAATTAATCTTTAAAATATAATAACTTCAACAAAATAATAAAAGTTAATTAAATTAATTTCTGCATTTAATAAAATCCTTCTTAATTTGCTGTTTACAAATATTAACCATAAACTTGAAATAGATTTGTATAGCAGCATTGAATCAGAACTATGTGTTGCCCATATATGAAAAATATGCTCTTTATAACAATTAATAATCTTATAAGAGCTGGTCAATGACTTCATGAGGTTTTTTGCTGATTTTCTTGTCTATTGGTGTCTCAATTTCTTTACCCCACTCTAACAGTCATGGGATATTGCTGCTAAAGTCTGAACTTCCCAAAGTGTGTGAAGTCTTTAATATTTAAATGCTAATTTCACTAATTTAAAAAAAAAGAAAATGTCAAACAGTTAATACTTTTGAATGTGTTCAACAATCATTATGCATTTAAAATGCCACAAATAGAATAGCCTTATTTAATTACTTAAACTATTGTTAAAGTAATTTATATCTATTTAATATTATTACTGTTGAATTTATGTTTAAATATATTTTTCACTGCCAGTATTTTATCTGTACAATTTTTTGTTGTAATGTTAAAAGATAAAATTAATGACTGGTTTAGAATATCTATCTTGCCTTAATCATGAGTTTAAAAGATATATAATATCTATGGTGTTTTTTTTAGTGTTATTATATTTTGCTTTAACTCTGTGAACATTTGAAGCTGGGGACATAATATTGGATTGATAAACAGAAAAAGAAAACAATTCATTTTTTTTGAGAGGGTGCTGGATGATTTCCTAATCCAGCAAGTTTAAGCTGAGAAATGTCCAGTTCTGTCATTGTTCTTAACCATGGCAACATATCATGGTTACAATGATGATTAAAAGTTATATAAAGTTAATGTTCACATCCATAAGCTTGATCCCTGTAATTGTTTAACATATATATTTTTAACAACATGGAACATTAGAAGATAGGGCAGCTAATGCTAATAAGGCTTTACACTATTATTTTAGAATTTTACCAATGGAGAAATTGGGGTGAACTTAGTCATTATTATTTAAATTTAAACTGTTTAGTATGATAGCTATTCTGTATCTAAAGATTAAGTTGTTCAACATCTGTTATGAATTAGCTCAGAGACTTCAGATTTTTCTTTAAAGATGCAATTGTAAAAATACTGAAAGATATAAATTGAAACTATTTGTTATTGGTTAAATATTATTAAACATATATTCTTTGTTTGATACTTTTAGATTTTTATAAAATCAGTTATTTGATTTAAAAAACTCTAAAAACGATGTTCATTTCTGTGTACATTTGATGAAACGGCTAGTAAATTTGTTGAAGAACCTTTCAGTGTAATATTTGTATAAATTACAAAAACTGATTTTCTCCTTACTTTTTTCAAACCATGTACAACATTTAAAATGAAATCTTTTGGACATTTTCAAAAATGTTGTAGTTTGTAATGTAGATCTTTCAAAAATGAACAATGAACAAATATTAGTACTAGATAGTTTCCAGAATGGCCTCAGATATAGTTTATATATTTGCCTTATTTTTTGTTAATGCTAAGTGTACACAAAAACTAGTCTACAGACTCCATTGTGTAAAAACATTTCTAGTTTAATGTACATTCATATTTCTCTTTTATTTTGTGAATAGTTTTTCCTACAGTAAGTCAAGACAGTTAAATCTTGATTATGAGTTCTAAAAATATAAAACAACAAATTGTAATGAATTTATTTATTATGTTAAAATCATAAAAATATTTTGAATCTTAAATGTAAACATTTTAAATACAGATAATACTTTTTTAAAAATTTGTGTCAAACAATAATGTAAGTTAGAAAAGTATTAAACTATAAAAGCAGTATTGTTGTTTTGAAAACTTTTTGTAATCTGATTTTTGTAACAATAGGTCTTTATTGCATTCTGTTTTTGCTTAATGTCTGATACTGTGATCTGAGAGAAAACATTTTAACACCAGTGGTTCAATTCTTCATGCAGCAAGAATTAAAAAGCAAGAGCTAGTTTTTTTTGTTTTTTTAAAAGTGCAATTATTACACTTGTTCTTGAGCAAATTTAGAGTTGAAATAAATTTGGTTAAATGGTTCCACATGAAAAAATTCAACATTGTCTCATGGATTTGTTAAAATAAACTCAGTTTATAAAAGTTTCATGTTTGTTTCATTGGTGGTGTCTCAAACAAATGTTCATTCATAGGTTCTGCTGTTTCCTTAAGTTGAATACCATTTATAGTAGGCCCTATACATCTACTTATTGTAAAATTTCTAGGCCGTTTACATTTTATTTTGATCTTTTTTGACTTTTATATAAGATAATTATAATCTTCTAATCAAGCCCAGGGTTTATAAAACAAATCCAAATTTTTTTTCCAGTAAGGTTTTCTATAAACATAAAAGATGTAAGGCAATGATTTCTACTGATGAAGACTGAAAGGTTATTTTAAAGCTTGGAATATTTTTTCTTTGATTTGCTTGACTTCGTTTTGCTTTTCAGTCTCAATCCACCTGTTGACCTCCCTCAGTGCTAGAGTGTGTTCCCTGTCTTCTTCCAGCAGTTCACTGTTGGGTCATCATTATTAGGCAGGTGACATCATGGTCAGTTGGCAGGTGACATCATGGTCAGTTGGCAGGTGACATCATGGTCAGTTGGCAGGTGACATCATGGTCAGTTGGCAGGTGACATGGTCAGTTGGCAGGTGACATCATGGTCAGTTGGTTGGTGACATCATGGTCAGTTGGCAGGTGACATCAGGGTCAGTTGGCAGGTGACATGGTCAGTTGGCAGGTGACATCATGGTCAGTTGGCAGGTGACATGGTCATTTGGCAGGTGACATCATGGTCAGTTGGCAGGTGACATGGTCAGAGAGAGCATTATGTTAGGTTATCATAAATAGGCAAGTAACATAGTTAAAGAGATAGCTATAAACTATCTGCAAGATGGGAGGATGGGGGTCAATATTTCCATAGACCCCCCCCCCCCGATCTAACGTTTATTATTGTGAGCATTTTTACGATACTGTGCTAGACACTTCGGGCTTTCTCCTGAATGCAGCGGCGTCACAATGTCGGATAAATGTCACCTGGTGCGATAACTGAGGGCGTCATCCCTAACTTACCCCTTAATTGAACAGGAAAATGCACTTGTTTTGTCATTATACTTTACAACATTTCGCCTTATGACGTTACAGGCTTCCGTCCCACCCCCCTCCCCCGTTGACGGCACCCCTTGATTAGGGTGTAAGGGACATTTCGTGATTTGAGGCTTAACCGTTCTTAACGTGCGCGCGTTCTTCAGCTATGACACCCCGTCCCGCCCTTAGAACCACGAGACACTCCGGGGTCTCAACTGATCGACCCCGGTAAAACCCGTGACGACCCATGCTTACAATAGGTACTAGTTAATCGATAATAGATAGATTCTAACACATGAATGGTAAAGAACATCCGAATTTACCTGAAATCTATTTCTCCGTTTCCGTCTCTGTCCATCCTCTCAATGAGTAGTTCAAACTGTCGCTCAGTGATGGGTATATTGCACGACTGAAATAAACAATGAGTAGTTCAAACAATGAGTAGTTCAAACAATGAGTAGTTCAAACAATGAGTAGTTCAAACTGTCGCTCAGTGATGGGTATATTGCATTGCACGACTCAGCTACACAATGAGAAGTTCAAACAATGAGTAGTTCAAACTTTCGCTCAGTGATGGGATTATTGCACGACCAAAATAAAAAATGAGAAGTCCAACTTAAAAGTGGTAGGTTATAGGATACTCTTGACAAGTGGCGTAGCGAGGTCGGGTGTCACCCGATGCGGCACTTAATGGTGTCACCCCCCAGAGGCGTAGCGACCCTTCCCGGGGGACAAACTTTCAAATTTTCGATTTGCACCCACCCTCAAGTTTTCGATTTGCGCCCCCCCCCCTCAAACTTTCGATTTGCACCCCCCCCCCCTCAAGTTTTCGATTTGCACCCCCCCCCCTCAAACTTTCGATTTGCACCCCCCTTAAGTTTTTTTGTATATATTTTGCTATTTTTTGCCTTGGTGTCACCCCCCTAAAAGGTGTCACATGGTGCGGTCCGCACCCCCGCCCCCCCCCCCCCTCGCTACGCCTCTGACTCTGACTTCTCTACTTCAACATGAGTATGAGTATGATTGTTATGTAAAAATGTAATTAAAAAAACGTTTTAGTAACAAGCTTTTGTAGACCAAAATGAGTGAGCATTTACAATTTACTCTTGATTTTTAGAAAGAACGGAAGTGGGAGGTGTTCAATGACGTCATTTGGAAAGGGGTGGCGGCGGTGTAGAGCGATTGCCCATGGTGAGGAGGGAAGAAGCGGGGCGGGGGTGCGGATCGCACCAGGTGACACCATTTGGGGGGGGGGGGGTTGACACCAAGGCGAAAAATTTTAAAATGTACAGAAGAAAAATTCCTTTTTGCCAGATCCATTAGTGATTTATTAAAGTTAAATAGTCTTTTAAGTAAAAATCGACAATTATTACACCATGACGGAAACCTGCTAACTATAACGATAAAATTGCTACATTCAACTGTATTCTTAACAGATTGTATATAAACATCGTTACTATTAAGTCTGCACTGATTAAAGCTACTACACATACATACGCGTAAGTGGCATATGTTTAAATTATAGACCTATGTAGGCCGACACACACTCCCTCACACACACACACACACACACACACACACACACACACACACACCAGCAAATTAAAAAAAAATGAACGCTTGTCTAAAATTTAAAAATTTCTATCCAGAGAAAAAAAAAAGAAACAACACAACTAACCATGATGCCGTTCCAGAACTCTTCAATAGAGATGGTCATATTTTGGTTTTTGTCAAACCGCCGCAGCATGTCAACCAGGCGATAGCCAGATTTTCCAACCCAGTCTCTCAGTTTGGTGTAGGGATCTTGGAGAAAAAAATAAATGATTACGTCAACAACAAAAAAACCAGAGGCTGAAGAATGGCCATTGAAACGACATTGTAGTTAGGCTACCGTTAAAATCAACACAAAAACAAAAATTATTGATATTTAACTCTAGTGATAATGAATTATTAATTTCCAACAACTGACGTCTCAAATAATGTTGCTAAAGCTTGGTCAAAATAATCCTCCCACAACATGAAATGTCTAGAGATCCGAACGCTCTTTGTTCCATTATAGTTCTTGCGTAATTACCATTACAACTGCACCAGCACTACCATAACAACTCTAACAGCACTACCATTACAACTCTACCAGCACTACCATTACAACTTTACCAGCACTACCATAACAACTCTACCAGCATTACCATTACAACTCTACCAGTACTACCATTACAACTCTACCAGTACTACCGTTACAACTCTACCAGCACTACCATTACAACTCTACCAGTACTACCATTACAACTCTACCAACACTACCATAACAACTCAACCAGTACTACCATTACAACTATACCAGCACTACCATTACAACTCTACCAACACTACCATTACAACGCTACCAGTACTACCATTACAACTCTACCAGCACTACCATTACAACTCTACCAGTACTACCATTACAACTCTACCAGTACTACCATTACAACTCTACCAACACTACCATTACAACTCTACCAGTACTACCATTACAACTCTACCAGTACTACCATAACAACTCTACCAGCACTACCATTACAACTCTACCAGTACTACCGTTACAACTCTACCAGCACTACCATTACAACTCTACCAGTACTACCATTACAACTCTACCAACACTACCATAACAACTCAACCAGTACTACCATTACAACTCTACCAGTACTACAATTACAACTATACCAACACTACCATTACAACTCTACCAGCACTACCATTACAACTCTACCACTACTACCATTACAACTCAACCAGTACTACCATTACAACTCTACCAGCACTACCATTACAACTCTACCAACACTACCATTACAACTCTACCAGCACTACCATTACAACTCTACCAGTACTACCATTACAACTCTACCAACACTACCATTACAACTCTACCAACACTACCATTACAACTCTCCCAGTACTACCATTACAACTCTACCAGCACTACCATTACAACTCTACCAACACTAACATTACAACTCTACCAGTACTACCATTACAACTGTACCAGCACTACCATTACAACTGTACCAGTACTACCATTACAACTCTACCCCTTCTACCATTACAACTGTACCAGTACTACCATTACAACTCTACTACTACTACCATTACAACTCTACTACTACAACTCTACCAGAACCACTTTATTTCTTTTTCGTTGAACCATTGTACTTTGTGTCTCGGTCATTGAACCACTGTACTTTATCTGTCGGCTATTGAACCACTGTACTTTATCTGTCGGCTATTGAACCACTGTACTTTATCTGTCGGCTATTGAACCACTGTACTTTATCTGTCGGTCATTGAACCACTGTACTTTATAACTCTGTCATTGAACCACTGTACTTTATCTGTCGGCTATTGAACCACCGTACTTTATCTCTTGGTAATTGGACCACTGACCTCTCTTAAAGAGCTCCAACGGTGTGAGTGTTACAGCCTCAATCTTGTAATCGTACAGCACCCCTCCGTGTATGACCTCCAGACCCTTTAGCTCACGGAGCTTTTCTTGTAGTTTCTTGAACCTCACCTCCACGTGAGTGCTCTACAAAGAAGACAACAATTACTTTGTTATGCCGTAATCAAATTTACAGCAACAGAAAAAAATGCTAATTATCAAATTAATTTAAATAATGGTTCATTTAGATTCGACCTTGAAATTTTTGGGGACAGTATATTTCCTCTATAAATTCTATTTCTTTTTTTTTTTGGGGGGGGGGGGGGAATCAGAAGAGATGCCTGGAAGAAACACTGCTGAATATTAGAGGAACTTGTAAAGGTGACGATTTAAAAACTTTTTGTAGCATCTACCGTCTGCAGTAAATGTATATGGGCTTTACTCTCTGTTATAGTCACGCTCATTAAAGGGTTTAGAGACTTAACATCCCAGAGTTCACACACGCGTGCCACTTCTGTATCACGTGACTATCAACACAACCACGCTTAGAAAATTCAACCTTTTCTTTTATTAGTTGGAGAATTCAAAATATTTCACGCTCGGTAATATTTAAAATATCTGGTTATTAAGGGAAGCATTTTTTAAAAGTGTAGCTTATAAAAAGTAAACACGAATCTTTTGACACACAAACGTTTATGAGGTCTACCTATAACTGAAAAGACAATGTGCAATATAAAAAAAGTATGTTTTGACGACGAATGTAATAAACCGGGAGTGATCTCCCCTAAACTTTCTCGAATATTCTTATATAAAACAACAGGGGATGGGAACTCGGGCTATTGACATGATTTTTAATCCATTTTAAATACTTAAAGTTTTAAAAATAGAATAAAATCTCGTAGACAAAATAATTGCACGCCAAGTGAACTAGTGAACGCCAAATAAAAAAGTGCACAATAGCGCGCAATATTATTAGTACTTTAAAAATTTACATTAGTTTTTTGAGAAATCGGAAGTAGCGTAAATTACTACTTCCGGTCAACGGAAATTACTCAAAATTTAACAGAAGGTAGAGAATTAGATCTTTTACTTACATGTGAAATTTCATTTATCTATCTGAAATAGTACTCAAGTTATAGGCTTTTGAAAAATTCAAAGTAGGAAAAGTACCACTTCCGGTTATCGGAAATCGCTCAAAAGTTGATACGGATCTACGATTTTGATAAAATACTTATATATGAAATTTCATCAACCTAGCTATAACGGTACTCAAGTAATCGTGTTTACACACGGACACACACACAGACACACAGACATACGGACAGAATTGCAAAGCCCAGTTTTTCAGACTGGATTACGCATAAAACCTCTTAATTTTGATAAATCTGGATTGATAATTTTTGCCCAATTAAAATAAGTCCTCTATACTTCGGATGTGATGAAGGACTGAGGTGTAATACGGTGAAAATTGTTAAAATTTCAAGTGATTTTTGTGCACGATTACAATACTTTCTCTATACTTCGTATATACGAGAAAGTAAAAATACAACTAAAGGTAGAACATTGGTGTCAAGTTTTCAAATAAGCCAATTTTATCAAACAAATAAACCGATGCAGCTGACAGCATACGTACCCCCAGATTGAGGAGCATTAGGTTTGAAGCTTCATTTTTCTCTATACCACTCAACATGGCCCAGGCGCCATCTGCTATGATACAGTTCTCGGAGACCTACAGATTATTGTAGCATGATGATTAAGTAGGATTAATTAAGGTGTGATGCAAGGTTTGGGATCGAAGCTGTTTTCTAGAAATGAAGGCATGCAATCTGAACCGAACCCCATCCCTATCGTCACACGGATTAACATAACCAAACATTTCCCCCCTTATTTTCTTAAATGATGTCGCAAATTTTCATTCCATCCTCCTGCCTAACAATAACTGTTCCTTTAGCCCCCCCCCCCCCCCCCCTTCACATAGCAAATCGTCACAAACGTAACACCCCCTATAGGCGCGTGACGTCATTTGACCCCTCACTGACCGCTTTGTTTACAAAAACACATCAACCTTACATCCAGCATGTTGAGGTTGTCATTGGACATCAGACCGTTAGCCAGGTACACGGCAGACGTGGGCGACAAGCGACAGTTGGCTGCATACAGACGCAGAAGAGTTCTATTGGATTTGATAGCTTCACCCAGCGCCTTGCCGCCCTCCAGTTCCAAGCCGTTCATTGATATGGAAAACTCTTTCAGGCCAACGTTTTCCTTTGAATGAAAATAAAAAGAACGTACGTCATTTAGAAGCAGTAGTTTCCGGTTAAAGCTTCGGGCAGATACAACAGACACGCATCGACAACAGCACAGATCACATACGTGTATCGATATAAAAATAAATAAAGTAAAACTGATGCTACATTTTTTATTTTGTTTTCTTTTTAAAGGTGGAGGAGGGGATGCAGTTTTGTAAATCGCGAGTCAGGTTAAAGAATTGAACTAAATTTAGCGCTAGAGAGCGATGTGAGTGTCCTTGGTCTAGTAGTATTACTGACTAGCTTTTTATTTACCTGTTAGGTTTGTGTGGGTATATAAAAAAAGCTAACCCTAACCTTGAGTCCCTCGGCCAGCAGGACACACCCTCTCTTCTGGAAATGATTCCAACTCAGGTCCAAGTGCTCGAGTACCTCGTTCTCCATCAGTGCGTCCTTGAACCACCTCGCACCTTCATCTTCAAATTGGTTGTGACTCAAGTTCAAATATCGCAGAGTCGAATTTCGCTTCTAAATTATACATACATGATACCAGCGTTGGCATTAAAGATCACTTAATTAATTAATATAAACTATACAAAAAAAAAACTACATGTTGATGCACCTTTTTTTTTTTAAATGGCCTAAAATTTTTTTTAAAATTTCTTGTAAATTTTGCTAAAATTCTTAATTTTACTAAACTGTTTCAGTCCCCAAAGATTATCAAATTTAAATTTTTACAAGAGCTGTTCTAAAAATAGGAATTTGTAAAAGTTCATCACCGTCAGATTAACAGCATCAGCTGCGGTGAGAGCCAGATATTAACTGTTAGCAGTCTATAGAAGATCTGGGCACAGTGAAAGAACGATACTTACAGTTAGCAGTGTATAGAAGATCTGGGCACAGTGAAAGAACGATACTTACAGTTAGCAGTGTATAGAAGATCTGGGCACAGTGAAAGAAAGATACTTACCGTTTGCAGTGTATAGAAGATCTGGGCACAGTGAAAGAACGATACTTACAGTTAGCAGTGTATAGAAGATCTGGGCACAGTGAAAGAACGATACTTACAGTTAGCAGTGTATAGAAGATCTGGGCACAGTGAAAGAACGATACTTACAGTTAGCAGTGTATAGAAGATCTGGGCACAGTGAAAGAACGATACTTACAGTTAGCAGTGTATAGAAGATCTGGGCACAGTGAAAGAACGATACTTACAGTTAGCAGTGTATAGAAGATCTGGGCTCAGTGAAAGAACGATACTTACAGTTAGCAGTGTATAGAAGTTCTGGGCAGCTCCATCAGATATGCCGTTACCTTTTTATAGAATTTTAAAGTTTACACAAGTACCTTTACAATAAAACACACTAAAGCCAGTAGTTAATGGCAGAAAACAACATGTGTTACACTGTGTATGTCAGTTATTCAAATAGGTAAATGACATCCTGAAATATACAATGTTATGACTACCGAAAAGCTTAACAAAAAAAGTTTCGAATGAATTCTGTCGCAAAGATACTCTAAAATAGCATCTTGTCAAAATCTAGCACATCATTCAACCATTAGCCTAACAGCAATAGATAAGTCTTTTACTAAATCTTTTTCCAGAATAAAAATAATGCGATTGAAAAAAAAAAGTAAAACACTATCTTACCAGCTAAATTCAGTTTCTCTATCGTTTTGTTATACATTAAAAGTTGGCATACAGCTTCAGCTCCTTCGTTTTCTATGCCGTTTTCAGATATATTCTGGGAAATAAAATACATTGTCTTCAATACTTTTAAATCACGTAAAAGTTGGCCAATGTAAGTCAAGAAAAATTGACACATATTTTCTTCTTCTATTAAAAGTCCATATATATATATATATATATATATATATATATATATATATATATATATATATATATATATATATATATATATATATATATATATATATATATATATATATATATATATATATATATATATATATATATAAAACTTATAATCTTACCAGTTCTGTGATGAAAACGTTTTCTCTCAAGACACGGCACAAGTGTATTGTTCCCTCTCCCCGGATGCCGTTACCCTCCAGGTCTAGATGCTCTATTGTTGTATTTACCTGTGTAGGAAATTTATTTACTTTAACGTTAGCCCGACGCCTGCACGTGCAGAGGCAAACATTTTAATAACATTTTTTTAGAGTTAGAATATTTCTCTACAGCTGTCGAGAAAATACAAATAAATAAATAATCTTTGATAAAACAGTAGTTCCCAATTATGATACTATTAACAATATACATAACCGAAGTGCGTTGGTAATATTTCCCTCTTCATCAATACTATTTTGTCCTGCGTCCTTCCACATTACATAACATACATGTAGCTGCGCTGTTAAAGCTATCATAGCCTGCGGACCTATCCCACTACACAACATACATGTAGCGCGGACCTATCCCACTACACAACATACATGTAGCGCGGACCTATCCCATTACACAACATACCTGTAGCGCAGGCCTATCCCACCACACAACATACCTGTAGCGGCGCTGTTAAAGCTATCATAGCCTGCGGACCTATCCCACCACACAACATACCTGTAGCGCAGACCTATCCCATTAATTAACATACCTGTAGCGGCGCTGTTAAAGCTATCATAGCCTGCGGACCTATCCCATGATTCTTGAGCTTGAGCCTCTGGTCCTGCATGTGGTCCAGGAAGTAGCTGATTGGGTGGACACCAAGTTTTTTACACTCATTCAAATATCTTCGTTTGCCTGTTAGGTCATGGTCATATCTTTCAGGATAAACCCACTCTGTCAGATACAAACATGTAAAAACAACGTAGATCTGTGTGAATTATGTCCAGCGTTGGAACATCCATACTATTGTATTAATCCTAGTAGATATACAATGGTAGGTTAAACCCGAGGCATAGCTAGGGGTGTGTGGGTGGAGCGGCCGCCCTAGGCGCCGACCCTGATTGGGGGGGGGGGATAGGGTGCCAAACGGGTAAAATTACTAAATTAGTGGTGAATTACTAAATTGTACACAGGCATTCATGACTAGTTAAACTGTTTTCTACTTCACTTGTGTGACTTTATAGTTAAAACTGTTAAGTGACAGTGCCTTGTAAAAAGCGCTCCCAACTTTTTCCAAATAGGGAGAGGTCGCTTTTTTCGCTAACGTGAATAACTGTATATAAATGGTGGAGGTGGGCGCAATTTTGATACTTCGCCCCGGGCTCCAGCATGGGTCGCTATGCCACTGTAGTATTTGAGTTTTTTTTTAAAATATTGGTCTCTGTATGCATATTTATTGCATCGTCTGTATACGATTTCTTGAATAAAAGTCGTCAAACTAGTATCTAATCAATTTTCAATAAATAAATAAATAAATCGGCCTCTATGTTCAAATTAAGGTAGTTGAAGTTAGTTTGTATAATATAAATCAATTGCTCTAATCGCATTGTCATTGCTAGTTGTACCGAAACCTCGGCCACAAATATTATTAAACGAACACACTTCTTAAATTAACTGTATCGAAACTTCTGCCACCAATACTATTAAACAGACTTCTTTGACTTACTGTTTCCATCAATATCTAAGTCCGTATCGTAATCCGAATCGTCGACAATCTCGTCCCCGCTGTCATCTGACACACTGTCAGTGCGGCCTCGTGCGACATGTAAGGTGGACACAGATTCGTCACCTGCTGACCCAGCTACCTCGGCTTCAGCTTCAATTCTTGGTTTTGGTGAGCTATTTTTAAATTTGACGTTTTTGGTGGAGTCTTCAGCTTTAGTTGTTATCACTTCGTTCTGTGCGGATCTGGCGAGCCCGTTAGCTGAGGTTGTTGATTCGTTGTCGTCATCGTCCAACTGTGTCAGCAGAACTCTCCTGTTTTTCTTTTGTTTCTCCATGTCCGTTGGTAATGGAGTTGTTTCAAACACGACCACGATCTTAGTGTAAGTGAATTGATGGTTGCAGACTGGCCGATTGATTTAGTTGTTTGTAGACATAACGATAGTATCCATAGTTAACATACACATCACATTGCAAAACTGTTCATCGGTTACACTGAGCTAACACAATGGCGGTCTCATAACTCTGTAACAAGCTCAGCACGTAGACAAAAGCTATTAAATGGAGGGTACAAAGATCATTTTGCTCCGCCTTCTTGCACAATACCGTAGAACAAAACACAAGCTCGCCACGCTTGATTGCTTCTTCTGTGACAGTCCCGTGGCTCGACGGGCCCTCAGTTCATTGAACAATGTCCCGCCAGTCAGGCCGATCTCCTACCTACACGCCTAACCCCAGCATACCCCGACCCGCCATTTACCATCGATATTCCAACACTGCAAACATTTTTTCACGAGCCGTGTTACCCTTTGTTTCATGTAACAAAACGCACTGAAACACGGCATTGAAATTATCGCTTCGATTAGCAGATAGGTTCGATAGTTAACAATTTATAATGAATGGAGACGAGGCCTTTGTTTCACTCACAGTTTCGCTTGTTTTTATGACGTACTTCTGTTCAATCGATTTGGGCTTTATCTTAGATATCTGATAGGAAATCGAATTCTGAAAGAAGTTCAATTGTTTCCTGCATAGTCGATGTAAAATTATGACAAAAAAAAAACAATTGCTGGGGCAAACAAAGAAAGAGCCAGGCCTAAATAAATCAATATAGAAATTGAGATGTGTTTGAGCCTATAATCGTGCACAAGAAATAGAAACAGCCAACATCTTTATGGAAATAATTCAATCGTCAGAACTTGTGTTTATCGAGCCAGTGGTTGCAAATGACTTTCAAACACGACTAGACCAACACTAGGATCATGACTGATTCGAATATACAGGCCAAAAACTTAAGATCTTTACGTGATGTCATCTCGGATGTATAATTAAAATAACTTAATAATAATAAAATAATAATTAGTTTTCTAAACACTGAGCTGTAATGTTTGATTTTGGCAATTTAAAAACGTGGTTACTATACAGGGAAACCGTTTTAGCAAGTAGATTCATTTTTAACTGGCTAGACACACCAAATACACGAAAGAAAGATCCGGTAATGTCAGGATCTGTAGCCAATATAAATGCATCTCTTCTTAACACTTTCGCACTTGTTCTGATGAGATGCCCATATGAACAAGCATACACGCTGTAAGAAGATGCTTGGACTCAATACAATAGTAATTTCAACGTGCAATATAGTTTCTCAGATCGAAACTAAAATAAAAAGTTGTTTACATCCAGCAAATAAAATTTAGAAGCTTTCCTTTTTTTCAATAAATATGTTGGTAAATATATTATATATAGGCATATTTTTTTAAATGATATCTTTGGTTTGAGAAAGACTGCAAATATAAAGCAGTCGTTTGTTTTAAAACCCAAAGTTAAATGAAAATTATTTAAATAACAAAAAAAAAAAAAAAAAACCACAGGGCGAGTAAGTTATTCATAATTATTTGACAATGTAGCTAACTTTTTGAGAGGGTGTGTAATTAAACGAAATCTATTGGTATCGTTCAGCACCTTTTGAATACACCGCATCTAGTTAGTTGCAATCTGCTTCATCAAAAAGTTAGGACCGTAAAATGGAAAAGGAAATAGCTCCAAGTGTAAAAGGTGCGACAAATTCGCTCTTTTTCATGAGACTGTGTTAGATATATGAATAAATTATGAATATAATTAGAGACAGTTATTAAAAAATGCAATATAAAAAGGGAACAGTAGAACAGAACATCATCTGCTACACACAGAGCTTCTACAACTCTTCGGACCAACTATCAAAGGTAAAAGCAAACGTTCTAGATACTGGTTGACTCTAGAAAATAAGCATTTTACTAGTACAAGAATAACGTTTCTAAGTTTAATGTTAGACTAACAGTAAGTATAATTTTTATTATTTTCCTATCGTCCAGATGCGTTTGATTTACCTGACGGTGCTTTTGGTAGCATTTGCTCTGGCAAATGGAGCCACTGACAAACTACAAAGAAAAGATCTTCTTGGTGGTCTTCTTGGCGGCGATGGTCTTCTAGGAGATGATGGTCTCGTCAATGATCTTCTAGGGGGTGATGGTCTTCTTGGTGGTCTTCTAGGAGATGATGGTATTCTTGGTGGTGTTCTAGGAGATGATGGTATTCTAGGTGGTCTGCTCGATAGTATTCTAGGTCCCAATGGTCTGGTGGGCTCTTTACTCGGTAAAGTTTTTGGCCCCGATGTAGTTGGAAGTCTTTTAAGCGATGCAGGCATCAACTCGCTTTTACAGTCGGTAGATAAAATTGTCCAAACTGTGTTCAACGTTGTAGATGAATTACTGAAAGACGTGTTGGCAGCACTTCAAGGCGTCATCCCATCCAACACCAGGTAATTTGATGAAAATATGTGCAAGTATTCATTTTTGATTGAAAAATCGTAAAATATAAAAGAGTTGTAGCTCATTAAATGAAATAAAACTATTTCGAAAAATTGGAGTAAAAAGAAAAGTATCTGAAATAACCAGAATATATTTTATTTCTAATTAAAGCGAGGTCATCAAGAAATTTGACACCATTGCCTGCAATAAACTGTGCCCAGTATGTCAAGCCCTCCCACAAGTTGAGCTCCGACCAGTTTGTACTAACTACTGCAAGAGCACCTGTCGTTGGCTGTTTGGGTAAATAAGGTACGTTTTGGTAAAATACTTATCTCATCTTTAAGATATTTGGAAGCTATTACTTTTATAACATAATTATGTTTCTAAAAGCACAAAAAAATCATTTGGTTGGCGCTATTGGGCTTGTAAGTTGTTAAAGTAGCTTACCAAGTTCTCGCTCCGGTAGTTGCCAGCTGGCGTTTTTTTGTTTTTTCAAACCAAATGTGAATATTTTTTATTTATTTTTTTTTTTAAGTTATGAAATCTACTTTCGTTTTTGGAATAAAAAAAACTCCGACAATAAGTTGTTTTAAGTAAATTAAGTTTAAAATAACACACACACACAAATATATTATATTTTATATAGATCTAGAATACAACCTGTATAATAATAATACATCTATAATCTATATAAAATATGATATTTATAGGCCTAAAAGATTTCAATCGTAAATCTGAAATCAAGCCTAATTTAATTAATAAATATATATAGCCTAGATCTAGAGTCTAGATTTCTAGATCTAGAATTCTAGATCTATGACTTAAAAAAAAACCCTCTTGAAAATTCCGACTTGGACAGTAACATACGACATACAGGATTTATTTTTAATTTATAGACTCAAGAGTAGTCTAGAGATCTAGATTCTAGATCTAGTTTCTTTTATTTTACAGTGTAGTTGAGTGGAATTAATTACTAAATTACTAAATAGGCTATTTACTTTAAGACAGGTAGACTAGAATATGTTCAATATCAATTTATATATAGAATCTAGATTATTCTAGATCTAGCGAAGTTTAGTGTAGTCTTGTTGTAGAACTTAAGAACTAAATCTAGAGTGTAGGCAACTGTCGTAATTTAGATCTAGAATCTAGTACTGTGTGACGTCATTTTAGGGGGTGGGGGTCTGGCTTTTTGTGATGATGTGTAGGGGGAGGGGGGGAGGTAAAAATCGTCAAAAAAAATGCGTGACGTCATTTATAGATGACCCCCATGGAGAAGATCCACACAGAAACAGTTGAAGGAAAGGGGCCTAACATTCAAACAGGTAGAGGTACCTACATGATTTTAGAGATTATGTAGATATACATATATATATGTAACGAGTCCCCGAGTCTATCCTGTCCGACGACGCCAATTGTAACGAGCGAACAGTTACCCTGCTCGCAACGCCACATGTTACGAGACTATTTGCCTGTAGTGCCAAATGTAACGAGTTTAACCACTCATGCTACACAACATCGACTACAGTAGAAAGACTCGAAGATGCAGGTTCGCTATTGATCCTTTTATTACATGAATCAAGAAATGCTTCAATATAACACAATGAATCAACAGGAATGCTTCACAATAATAGTCTGAATCAACTGACCCCTAACAGCCCTCACTAGGCTTCATATAACTGAATCCACATGTCTATTGTCCTTCTTAACACAATATAACCAACTTGATATGTCACACAGACTGACTGATCTAAAGCGAGCGATGAAGAGAGCGAGCGATCGAAAAGGGAAGAGGGCGAGTTCAGTCGTCCCCTCCTATTTATCCCTTGTATTCGTACTCGTCTTCGTACTTGTATTCCTCCGTATTCGATACTTGTACTCGATGTCTCCGACTACTAGTTGCGCAGTTCTAACGTACAGTCCGTTTAATAAACATCTGCATCCTATCAATCAAAGTTGACAGGCCGTCTGAATCCCCTCGTACCGTTTCCCAAAATAGCACGCGTTGGCTTTGAGATTGTTATCAGTCCGATCCAATAAGCCACCTGCTATCAGTTGCATCAGACTGTAATACTGCGTCTCGGCTTATCGTTCGTTATCAGTTTTGTAACTAGTAGCTAGGCCTACCCTAGTTACATATATATATATAGGGGGAGGGGTAGAGAGAGAGAGGGTTCATCTGTAAATTGCATCACACATTTTATGATGATTTTTACCTCCCCCTCATAAAGGAGGGCAGTAAAAAGAAGAATGTATGATAGCTGGGTAATCCTAATTTATATAATCAGAATATTGTGGTAAATAAAAGTCAACATATCTAGCCTAACAAAATGCCATGAATTTAAAATATATATTATGACTTAGAGAAAGTTTGGTGAAATGGAAATATCTGCAAATTTGATTTATTGATGATGTGTAACTTGTTTATATTATTCCTTTGGAGCTGATATTAATAAAAAGTTAATGAAATTATAGAGTTTTATCCAATTGATGTTTCTAAAGCCTTGCATGAACTTAATTTAAATATATTTAGCTGCCCAGACAAAGAACCCAATGAATTTTCCAGAATTGGCTTGTCGTTTGACCGATGGTAACAAAGAGAATCACCCAGGATCTTCGCTGATAAGAAAATCTGAAGACATACCTTATTCTTCTATATCTAAATGTGATTTGTCTAATGAAAATATTTATTCAGTGACAAGTGCTAAAGATATTTTACCATTATTTCAAACATCATCTTCTGAAATGTTGTTTTCTATCTCTAAACCTTCCACAATTTCTTCAAGTTTCAATAGATATTTTAACATCATTGCCTACTTCCCACAGTTATGTTCAAAATTTGCAATTTTCTGAGAAACAAAGTAATAATAAATTTGTACCCAGTGTTTTAGTTTCAGCTCCATTAAAATTTAATAAACCAATCAATTTCAAAATTAAATGTTTCTTATCCCATATGAAAGTAGTCTGTTTTATTTAAGAAAAATCACCTTTAAAAAAATTTAATGTTTGAATGTCAATAAATTGTTGACATGGACTGGTTTGCGGGTAAGCTTTTATACTTAGTGTACAATAAAGATTCAGTTTTGATGTCAATATAGTTGCTTCTGAAAGAATTAAACTATAAACATATAGTTTAACAATAGCATTTATATTAATATCTCAATGGCAGTTCAGTATACTTTCATCATTGTTTTCAAATAACAAAACAGAACTACAGTTTTAAAATTGAAAAAAAAAATGAAAAGAATTTCATAAATGGATGGTTTTTTAATTACTTAAAACAGAAGATGCATCAATACAGCATTACAATGTATATAATTAATATTTCTTTTCATGGACAATCATCATTTAAATTCTTCATTAAAAGTTAAATTCAGCTTCCTTGTGTCTAAAAATCCACATCCATGCTGTTCCATTTACCTAGAAATTAAATAAATAATATTTTTAACAACTTTCTGTAATATGAAAAAATTAATCATTGATTAAAACAGACAGCCAATATAGCAGTTGAATTAAAATTCACCTGTTTCTGTGACATTTGCATGTAAAATTAGAGTGTTCAGAGGTATATACCCAGCCACCTTTAATTTCCCTATCTTGAGCCAGGTACTCATGAGAGCTGGTACTCATGAGACTTAGGACATCATACCAGGACTAAAACCAGGGATCTGAACTCTTATCTTTTAGGATAGAAATGTGAAAGCTACTGTCTGACAGTGCCACTATCAAGCCATACATATTAATACTTACAGTAAATAATCTTAGTAGCAACATATTCTTTAAGAATTAGAAAACTGAATCGGTTTCAAACTTGGGCTTAAGCTGAAAAATGGCTTATTATAAAAAAAAATTCAGCTCACCTTTAGTTCAAGATCAGCACCAATAGCCACAGTAAAGTGTGAGAAAATTGCTTGCAAAGTACCTAGAGAATTTAAATATAATAAAGTATTAAGTTTATCCATATATTATATTAAAATAATTATTTAACTAATATGTGATATTAATATATATATATATATATATATATATATATATATATATATATATATATATATATATAAGGTTTAATTTATTGTAAAGGTTCGGTTTTCTATCTACTTAGCTTGTCTTAAAAACTAAAATATCTGGTTTACAATTAACCATATCTTAACTATTACAAAACTATTAGTTTCATTTTCATTACTTGTAACTAAAAATTGGTGTCAATAGATCTAAAACTTAATTCTATTAACAGCTAACTGTACTGACTCTGACCAATTTATTAATTTTTATACCATGTAATTCATTAATAATTAGGCTTATACTAAAAGGCCAAAAGTTATCAATTGTAGATTTTATAGTCCCTGGTCTAGACTAACAAGACTAGCCTACAAGTCTAATAGTACTAATACACATGATCTAGTTTCTAAGTTTACTACTAGGCAACTTGCTAGAAGACTAGTACTTAACCAAACTTTAACTTGCTAAAAATAAAAGGGCCAAATAGAATAGTAGATGGCCTAGTAATACTTTTTTTTTACTGTGCTACTTACACTGCTTTTGGTACTATTACTACGGCTAACTAACTACTAACTAAATTCTATTGTAGCTTGATGGAGATCTATCATCTTGCTCTTCTAGTAGTCTACACTACTTACTACTTAGAAAAGTAGTAGCACTACTGTAACAATTTCAAACTAAATTTAATCTATATATTACTAGATCTACTAATTGCAACACTGTAGTCTGACTGATAAGTCTGTAAGCCCTAAATGTATCTAGATTCTAGTCTAATTTAGTTTAAGTCTAGTTATTAGTACCTACCCTCTACACTCTACAATAGTTTACAGTACTGTTGAGTACTCTACACTACACTCTACTACTACTCTACTCACTCTACTGGCTACTGATCTAGTAAATAGTAAAATAGCTAGAGTAGATCTAGTCTAGAAATCTAGATTCTAGATCTAAAAAAAATCGATTTAAAATTAAAAACAGGTTAGCCTTACCTAGATCTAGCTCTTACTAAACTTAACTAGGGTAGGTTTTACCTAAACTAGATCTAATCTAGATCTAGAATCTATCTAGATCTACTAGATTCTCTAGATCTAGATTTTTAGATCTAGGGCCTACCATACTTTTTTACTACCATCTGCATCTAGATCTACTATCTCTATCTATCTACTAGCCATCTTTCTACAAGTCATTAGTCAAACAAAGCTACTTAGTTCTAGATCTATAGGCCTACTTCTAAAATATTAAACAGTAATCACTGAGTAATCAGCACTAGTCTAGAGTCTAGTTCAGTAATCTAGCTAAATCTAGGTCTATTAACATTAACATTGTTGTCAAAGTTCTAGATATCTAGATCTAGTATTCTAGATCTAGACTAGCTCTAGATTCTAGATTCGATTAAGTATTAGATCTAGATCTAGTTGTAGGCTGAGTGAGACTGAAAGTGAAAGTCATCCTGTTTACTGTTTACCGTCATCCTTTTCTTAATATTTTTTAATATTTTATCTAGATCACTAAAATACTAGATCTAGAATCTAGATCTAATATATTCTAATTCATGAACTTATACTCTTAGAACTAGATTAAAGCAATGTAGATCTTAGTTGGTAGATTCTAGAATCCAGATCTAATCTAGACTAGGTCTGGGAATCTTGAGTCTCGTAGCAAAGACTGAGTAGAGTCAGACCAGAGTAATGTCCCCTAGCCTTGGACAAACTAACTATCAACAAAAGAAATAAAATCAATATACTTACCGTCACAAAACTTTTATATTCAAAAATGCATACACATGTGTTTGTTCCCATCCATATGAACAAAACAGCGTTGAAAGTTTTTACAATTGTTGCATTTCTGGAACGTTTGATGATTTTGAAATCTTGAAGCGGGACCTACTAACAAATAGCCGCCATGTTTTTTGTTATCAATGGGAATCCCGTTCACAACAATTGATTTAGTTCGAAAACTTTTATCTCTCCCTGGCTAACCAGACATGAATTAACGCGAGAAAGAACGATAAACTTACAAGTTCTATAGATTATATGTCTCAAACAAATAAATAGGGTTTTGTAATTGTAATATGTCTATTACATTCTTTCATACTATCTGTTAGGTTTTGTAAATGTATTGTATTTGCTATTTTTTTATGTCACCTTAACGTGATTTAAGGTACCTAGTTCATTAAAGTTTTTATAATGATCATAAATCTATTGTATTTACAGGCAGAGAAAATGAAATATGGATGTTGCCATGGAAACATGTGTTAAGCTCCTAATTCACTTTGTCTCCAAATAAAATATTCTTTGGGTAAAAAATTATTTTGTGGATTTGATTTGTATAAACGTAGGTCTAAACCACGGACCCAGTGTATTTAACTGTATTTTCAAAACTAGTACGTCTCTCATGTTGGAGAGAACGGTCATTGAAAACTATCGGTCCTTTAATAAAACAAAACAACGCACTCGTGAAAGGTTTTAAAGTGCATAACGAAAGTAAACAAGCTAACTAGCAAAATACTGTTTGTTGTACACTTGGTAAGGAAGATCAGGGCTTTGCAATTCTGTCCGTGTGTGTGTGGGTGGGTGAGTGTGTGTATGTGTGTGTGTGTATGTGTGTGTGTGTTTATGTGTGTGCGTATGTCTGTGAACACGATAACTTGAGTAGCCTACCGTTACAGCTAGATTGATGAAATTTAATACGTAATTATTATATCGAATTTGTATTTCTGTTTCATTTTTTTCAGCGCTTTCTGGTAAAAAGAATTTTAACATAGTCTATTTTAAGTTTTTCAGAAGCCTATAACTTGAGTACTGTTTCAGATAGATAAACGAAATTTCACATATAAGTAAACCATCAAATAACGAAAGTAAACAAGCGAGCTAGCAAAATATTGTTTGTTGTACACTTGGTAAGGAAAAAGAGACACCCATTTACAAAGCAATTCCTCTAAAATTACCAAAAATGTCTTTATAACTTGACCTTTATGCAGATATTTTGGTAGATTTCTCTAAATTCAAAAAATATGGAGTTTTATAAAAAGTATGTCTAATCTCACGGGTCCGATGTATTTAACTACTAGGCTCATATTTCTGACATGCTGGGAAAAAATTAATTGAAAACAACGTGAGCACATTTTTTCTATCCGTAAATAGTTTTAAAAAAGAATATGTAGAAGAATACCGTCTTTTAATGTAACACTACTTCAGTGAGGATAAGGTGTAATGATCACCCACTGAGGTGTGGTGTGTTTACGGGCTGACCCTGAGAGACAACAAAAAACAATGACGCTTGTTTCTGGATCAACTTATTTATTGCACACAGAGAATTGTAATTTCCATTACAATTGCAAGTATATGTAGCCCTTTATCTTTAAGTATCTATAGATGACTCTGGTTATTCTATATCCATGCCAGCAACTGTTCCCGTTACCCGTAGTCTGGAGTTTGAATGACGTCGACACAGTCGCAACTACCCAGAGTCCCAGAGGTCACATGGATAGGGAAACATTGGCAAAACATAGCTTAAATTGGCTAATACATAGCATAATTTAATACGTAATTATTATATCGAATTTGTAGTTCCCAGTGGCTCATCTGGATTTTAATTTTAGTAATACTAGAGGCCCAGTCTACCCTTCAATATTGCTCTTTCAGAGAAATACGTTAAGTTTTGGAACATGAGTATCTTATCACACAGTAAACTTAGTAATTAAACATACAATAAAATGGAGCATCCATTAAAATTATTGCATCTATCAAACAGGCTTTTGTGTTCATAGTTCACTATTCACATTTTGTTTTTTATCTTAACCTACATTTTACGGTAACGCGATATCTTTCATTCGGAGCAGATGTTGAACTCAACAGAATGTTTTTCTCATTTGGAAATCCAATACAAATACAGTTCTCTCTACTATACGCGAGATAAATAACTCAATTGTAAAACCGATCGTACTTTTGATAAAACGATAGAACTTGAACTTGTAAGAAGTTTTAAAGTGCACAACGAACGTACACAAGCTAGGCAGCAGAATATTGTTTGCTATACTATTGGTAAGGAAAAAAACACCCACTTATAATACAACAACGTAAAGCTTTAATTACAAGACCTTTATACAAGTAATTCTTAGGTAGTGCTGCACAGTTGCACAATATAAAAATTAAATGCATTGAGCTAAAAAGTGTCTGTTTGAAAAAAACTTATTATCAACACACACAAATACACACGTACTTGCATACATGCACATGCATTAACACAAGCACGCACGAACACACAAGCAAAAACACTAAGATACATACAGTTTGTGGCCAATGTCCCTCTTGCAAGTTTCCTGCGCAAATATCTCCACCTCTACCCTCACCCACACTGTTTAGTACAATCACGATCTTGTTGCCATTGTCGGCAGTGCATTCGTTGTTTTCAAACACCTGAAATTCAAAGTAAAAATAAAGCAAGGTAGATTACTTTATTTATTACTCGCCTTGGTCTCAAATCAAAGCTCTGTTTTTGTCATAAAATCGCCTTATTTTGGTAAAATTGAACTCTACTAACGTATCAACTGTACTATCACTACGACTGAAGAATGTTAAAATGAATGTAATTCGAGAGATGTTTTGGTCAAAGCAACATACGGAGGTGTAGCATCAAGTAAACAAGAGGACTGCCACTACATGTATATAAAGAGAACCACTGGCAGTAGTAGTTATCTGGCTGCTGAACTTGTAGAGCTGTTCTTTGACTTTGCAAGTGACGTACCTAGGCCTTCAAATCAAAACTATCAAGGTAAAATTTTTCACAAATGCAGAAAAATATTCTAACTATTAAACAAAAATATAATTGAATGCAATAAATCTTTAGAGAGTAAAGTATTAAATATTCAGTAACGTCTATGATTATAACGGAAAGCTAACCAAAAGCGGTTTAAATATAACTGACTTATTTTGTCAATACTTAAAATCCTAACAAAAATATAAATCGAATTTTTTCTACACGCATATAAAAAAAAACGCGTCTCTTTTACAATAACTTCACCAAGAGAATTTTTTAAACAGAAATAAAAAGTTAAAGCGAAGTTTAAAAATTCATGTTGATTTGTATTATCTTTGCTTCACAGATGCGTCTTTTAATCATCCCTTTACTTGTTGTTTTTGGGACCAGGACACTGCTAGCAGAGACAAACGCTGGTGCAGATGCTGAACTAAATATTAGTGGAGGTGGAGGGGGTGGTGGTCTGCTCGGGGGATTATTTGGTGGTGGATCTAAGGGTGGAGGTTTGTTAGGGGGCTTGTTGGGTGGTAGACCTGGGGGAGGTTTGTTAGGGGGCTTGTTGGGTAGTGGATCTGATGGTGGACTTTTAGGAGGTTTATTAGGTGGTGGAAAAGACGGACTGCTGGGAGGGGTACTTGGTGAAAAAGGTATACTCAGCGGCGTTTTAGGCGAAAATGGCCTAGTGGGATCCCTTTTGGGCGACAAAGGGTTAGTAGGTAACTTGCTCGGAAATGTAGTTGACACTCTTGTCGGAGAGAACGGGCTGTTGGGTAATCTTGATAAAGGTTTAGTGGGGCAGCTTGTCAATATTTTGTCTTCACTTGGCCTAGATATCAAAGAAATCATTGAGATCGTTGGAAAACTTTTGTGCTTGATTAAAAAATTAGGGCTCGGTGTGGTAGTTCGACTGGTTCAGGTTTTAAAACTCGACGTTTTATTGAAGCTGAATAATTTTGTTTGCACACCTAACGGCTCACGTCTCTTTGATTCTACATTTGGGGTTAACGGTACTGTAAATATACTTGATGTGAAATGTCTTCTCGGTTTGATTGACACTGAGGTTGGCATTCATACTTTATTCCCCATTTTAAGCACAATTACTGGTTCAGGACTGAATGAAAAATGTAAGATTCCTGCGGGCCGCTCTCTCATTGCGGGAGTGTTTAAACTGTTGGGTGGAATCGTTGACCCAGAATTACTGAGAAGAGTTGTCGCTCTTCTGAATGCGATAGATATAAGTGACCTAACGGTTTCAGTTGACAGGATCTTAAGAGCGCTTAAATGTCTGTTAGACTATTTCCGTTTGAATTTAAATTTCCTTTTCGACCTTCTTCAAGTCATTGGGCTTAAGGGAGTTATTGGGGCAGAGGTCTATTTTTGTGGTTCTGTCAACGCTACTGCAAATGCAGCGCTTCTCACAGAACTAGGCAGGATACTGACTCTGGATGGCTTAGCGCGAGCGATACGTGTTTTGGGTATTGACAACCTCTTGTACATCGCCATTATAATCAACAGGGAGCTGGGGGGAATCACGTTGGATGCTTTACGTCTCGTGTTTTGCTTGATCCAAAGACTCGGCCTTCGCATTGTCCTTGATCTCTTTAGAAGTTTGGGCGCTAGCGTAGTGCTGGGACTTGCTGGTGTGCTCTGCAACAGGCAAGGTCAACCGATTCTACTCAACATTGAGGCTGGTATTGCCATAGAAATTTTAAATGCATGCAGAGGCCCAACGATAACGGCAGGTTGCACAGCGTAAGTTCGCGAGTTAGTAAAGTTTTTTGTACTGATAAATTTACTTGCTTTTATGCATTGTATACATCCTATTATGTGACAGTTTTAAACATACAGTGTTAAAAGTAAAGAAAGTGAAGAATGCTCTTTAGACCTAGCGATCAATTGGGCAGTAGAAGTAGAGCTCATATGTTTCTCGAAGTTGGCATATAAGCGGAAGGTGTGGTCGGCACTTAGCCGCCTTTACTATCCCTAAAATTAGTTAGGTACCCAACAGAGTTGAGTGGACTCAGCGACTTCTACCCGAATTCGAACTAGAGACTCTCGGGTTTGAAGTCTAGCGCTCTACTGCTTAGCCCACGCCGTTCAAAAAACAAAATTTCAAGCACTTCCAATTGACAAATGTGTTTAAAATTCAATGCGTTGGTCAAGACCAGATGACAATGCAATCTGGCATTACATTTGACTTAATTGGATGCCTAATTAATTTTTTATTAATAAATTAATATTTTCTGAAATAAGTAGAGTGTCCCACCACTGATCCGCACAATTATATGCTCATTATAATGTTTATTTGGTGCTCAATCGTTTTTAGTCATAAAACTCTATTTTATTGAACATTATAATGGACTGGAAAGAAATGCGCTAAAAACATTTTAATAACAAACTTTTAATAAACCGGGAGTGATCTCCCCTAAACTTTCTCGAATATTCTTATATAAAATAACAGGGGATGGGACCTCGGGCTATAGATATGATTTTTAATCCATTTTAAATACTTAAAGTTTTAAAATAGAATAAAATCTCGTAGACAAAT